AGTCGATACATTAAATAATTTCACAGGTAACTGACTATATATTTTTCAAGGTATAGAGAAAAAAAGAAATTTTCTCTCTGTATGGTTTGTCTGTATTATTTCATAGGCATAACAAAAGAAATGAGTCGATAGATTATATCGATCACAGGTAAATAGCTTTCTCTCTCACCACATATGTAGGAGACAAAAAAAAAATCGTTTTTTTCTCTAAATGGTCTGTCTGTGGTTTTTTTTTTGATAGAACGAATAAAAGAGAGAAGTCTATATATTATATGGGTCATAGGCAAACAGCTTATTGTATCCCAAGATATAGAAGTAAAATTTTTTTCTTCTTTGCATGATTTGTCTGTATTTTTTCATTCACATAAGCTAAAACTACAATCTATACATTAGATTTTTCACAGGTAATTGACTTTAATTTTCTTTTAGGTATAAAATAGAGTTGATATTTTATCTTTATTTTATTTTGAAAAAGTAGAGTAAAGTAATATATTAATATTAAGTTAACTATTGATTTATTAGTCCATTATCATGCATTGGTAATGTTACAATATATGAAAATTTATTTAAAATCTTGTCTTTAATAATTAGTAAAAAATGAATTGAAATAAAACTGAAAAATCAACATTTTTTTTCATGTATTGATAGGTCAAAGTTCTGGGTGAATTTCACGTATGAGAGATAGCATTTTACACCAGTTTTATCACATCAAAGTTGAGCTTCGTTTCTAAAAAGCAAGTAATACATTGAGCTTGTGCTGTTTCTACTTATTCCGCAATTCTTTATTATCATACAGTACACTACCATCACAAGCCATGTCATTTACTATTGGTTGTTTTTTATGAATTACATCGACAAAAACCAATAACTATACTAACTAATAATATATAGGAACGAGCAATTCTCGTTACTAGAAAGTTATATTAGTAAGAGATTTCCGAGGTAAAGGTAACTTGGCGAAGAAATAAATTACACAATTGTGAGAAACTGATCATGAATTTAGATACCTCGACCACAAAGTTCTTTGATGAAACTTTATCAGAATTCGTTACTCTCGCCCTCCGCCGCAAAAAAAAATCAAATTCATGAAATTTTCGATGCTCCATTACATAGCAACTAATAACGGATCAGTTACCGATTATCTAGTAGAGAGACTGTCTAATAACAGAAACTTTCCATCCCACTATGTATGGTTAATTAGGATAATGATTGGCTTTTGTTGATGTAATTCATAAAAAAAAATTAATAGAAAATTTCATGGGTTGATATGGTAGTATGCTACCTTATGATAGAGAATCCTGAGATAAGTAGAAAAAATACACGTTAGTTTTTGTTTTTGTTTCTTTTATAAATGCAGATCAAGTTTATTGGGATAAAATTTATGTAAAATATGAATTTTTCAGTTTTATTTTCTCCTAATTATTCAAGAAAAGATTTTGAATAAATTTTCACATATTGAAACTTTTCGGTTAAAGTAAAGAAATAACTTTATTTTGTTAAAGTAAAATAGAGATAAGATGTCACATATAAACCTAAACACGTTTCATAATTAAAACTGCGTGCGAACGCATCTATTGTGAGTCTGATGTTTACATGGATGAATAAAACAAATTATATTTCTATATTGACCAAAAATTCAATTGACAAGCTACAAATTGCTGGCATGAGGATATAGTTCAGTGGTAGAGCATTCGACTGCAGATCGAGAGGCTCTTGGTTCAATCCCGGGTTTTCCCTAGTCTATTACTTTCTTTTTTTTTTATTCATTTTTCTCTCTCTGTATTGTGACTCACCGTATTTATGTAGCTTGTTGCAGGTTGATATTATTGTTTTGGTTACAGTTCGAGTAAATATGCTAGAATAAGATCATGATAACGAAGTCATATATTTGGACGTGTCCGAAAAAACGAATAAGATAATTAATTGATTTTTTTGTTGTAGTTGAATTAGATTTTTCGATCAAACTATTGAAATAGCATGGCATATTCGAATGAAATAAAGATTATCTTGTTACAATAATTATATTTTATTGATCTGTGAAGCATTTCCTATCCATTATACGATTGAATTCATTACTAATCTAACAAATAGAGTTTTGTGTTATTCCATACTCATCAAAGATAAGAGAATTTAAGTTAAGTTTACTCACCATAACAATGATAATATCATACTACTCAGGCAATGTAATTTTTACTTTTTCATGAGCATTACAAAGAAATCTATCACTTCGACTAAGTATGATCTGTTGTTGAAGATAGATTTACGGACACACATAATTCTTATTATACCACTTGTATTCTTGATTTGATTTAGGATAGAATTGATTTTTCTCTTTTTTTTTGCACTTTCAATCCAGAAATCTCTTTGCTACTATTCATATTCATGAAGTTGAGTACGATATTTTGGCACAAGAAAATATTCAAGTGATGCATTTTTTTCTTTGATGATCATCAATATATGTTTACTGGAATATTTGAATACTCTGATTAGTACAACGAATATGTTATAGTGAGTGAAAAGTAATGAATGGAAAGATTTAGAACAAAAAAAAGTCTTTGTGTGTAGCTTTCCATTTTCTTTCTTTGTTTCAGTAGATATTGTTGATATAATATTATCTTTCTTTCTAGTCTTTACCACGGTAGTTGTGATTGTTGCAAGTGAAACGGATCTACTGATCAGACAAAGCACTAATGTGAAAGAAAATCGCGGCAAGATACAATAACCTTCTTGTAGATGTGTCTTTTCTCGTTCTCAGGAGGCATTAAGAAGTAGTAATCTATTTTTTGTCTTTTGTTCTAAAGTTGCAATCGGTAACGATAAACGACCGGTAGAAATCGATTTGGTACAGAAGTTTCTACCGGTCAGTAGATATAAATTTTTATTTACTGATCGGTCCCAAATTTCTTGTCTTGTTGCATCGTTTTTTTACTGATGTCGAAAGGATGTTCCAGAATAAATTATTCTATTTGTATTTTGAATATTTCTTCGCTGCGATACCTTTGATTAAAATACTGTTTTTATTAAAAGATAGCGCTTGAAATTCTCTACAAAATCATATATGATTAGACCCATAAAATATTTTAGATATATTTGAGAAAAGATGAAAAATAAAGACATACACAAAGCTGTAAAATATGAGAGGTTGAGCATAATGAATGGCTACGCTTTGCATCCTATTCACTTTGCCTTATTAAAAAGACAAAATATACCATATGGTACAGCATGAAAAGTCCTACGATTTACAAAGAACAATTATGAAAAGATGAAACAAGAAAAAAAAAGAATTCATCTTATATTAAAAAAAATACATCATTTTCACACGGTAGAAATTCACTTACTCAAAATTTTGTCCATTTTGAAAACGAAAAGTCCAACTATAAGATAAACGATCTTATGTAAATTCTAGATCTTTTCATGCTGCATCTTTTGGCATATTTAGTTCCTTTAATAGAGCGAAGTAAGTGATGAAAAATGGGATACAAAACGTGGTCATTCATTATGCTCAACCCGTTACATTTACTTTTCATCTTTTTTTCAAATATATCTAAAATATTTTATGGATTTAATCATATATGATTTTGTAGAGAATTTCAAGTACTATCTTTTGACAGAAAAAGTGTTTTAATCAATGGGATAATAGCGAAAAAATATTCAAAATACAAATAAAATAATTTATTCTTGGACTATTTATGTGTGAAATAATACATCAGACGATTCTATTAATTTAAAATTTATCACCCTATACTTAATACATTTTATCCATTCACATTAAAATATAGTTATATTATTGAAACAAAATTGAATAATTATTTAGCTTTGTAAATTATTATAGACTTAATTATAATTTCTACTATTTTTTGTCTATATCTCTCATAGACATAAATGATGACAAAGCAAATCAAATGTAAACACTAGATTAAGTGTACGGTTGATTAATCATGTTCATCTATGAGAAACATTTAATTAGTGCACAGAATTGATATAGAATTTGTAATCCTATTAAGTTTGCTCTTCATAGATAGATATTAAGAGAGATAGAACTTATGGAAATAAATAGTGAACAGCGTTATAGTTTTGAAAAAGAATTCTGACCTTATTGTTGTAGTTATTAAGAAACAGAGATGACTTATCGAAGGCTTGATTTCATTGTTACAGGACCAGAAATGGCAAAAATGACTCCGTGTCGGTATACCGGTTCAGTCTGACTATTTAAACTGGTATGAGTATCGGTAAGAAAAAATTCTACTGGTTCCAACAGTGTTTTGTTTCACTCATGGCATAGTGTATGGTACATTTAAGAATCACGTTAAAGAATTGGAAAGAAATCAGATAAATAGAGATTAATGCTGTGAAAAATACTTACATTTGTAACTTCGTCATTTCGTGTGTAGGTATTCAGTCATTGATGAGTGCATGGATTGTATTGAAGATATGGACAAAAATTAGAGAAAAATGGAAACGAATCTTGTTGGTTCATATCATTTTTTGTCGAAAGAAAAGTTTAATAGTACTCAGTTTATATTTGTGGTATCATCGTCTATTAAAGATTCAGCTTATCATTTCAGAATAGCCTTTCTTCCAGAGTAAATACAAAAAAGCTGTATGATAGTAAAAACTTGATATCTCAGTAGAAGCTCAACGAAAAGCATGATTCTTTGAAGTTTGTTGTAATCTCAAGGACTCCTTAATTATCAGCAAAACTATGAGTACACAATATTCTAACCAAGACAAGATATCCTACTAAACGTTCGTAGAAAACAAGCTAGATCTTTAACATTATAAGTGTCAATGAAGACTTTTTTCAAGCAAAATATTTTTTTTTTGTCTGTTCAATATTTATGTAAATTGTTTGGGAAAAAAAATCAGAGAAATCCTAAATCTTACGCATCCTTACCATTGACTCAGAATAACATTTGCATGAAACAAATGTTTCGAAAATGGCCAATTCGACATTTTCTCGGTAATTATTATTTCAAGTTTCACATGTTTTTTAGATAGCCATGTCGGGTAGATTTTATCATGGTAATCCTAATCGCGACAATAAAGTTTGGGTTTATCCACAAAATAAACCATTGATAAATTCCCGATTGGATACTTACAATGCAAATGGTTTATATAATAATTATACTTATGTTGGACTGGGTGCTGGACCCAAAATACAGGCATATCCATACAATGGTCATAAAAAGTAAGTAATAATCACAGTCAAAACACAACGTTCCTTAATTTAAATCTGAACTAACTTATTGATTCTATAGTGCATCAGTTGGTGGTACTGCTCAACATTTAGTTATTCAGGAAGAAGCTTGCTGATATTAGGAAATAGGCGAAAGGCCTCACTACATCTCCTAAGAAAAAGTCAAAATGTTTATTTTTCTTGGTTTTTATTTTCTCTTATATGTTATTCTACTGTTTTTTATACATGTTTTTGGTACAACAATTTGTGCTTTCCGGTATTGATTCTTATGTAGATGGCAAAACAAAACAATGATAGTTAAAATCAAAAGTTGTTTCTTCAATAGATTTTAACTTGAAAACAATTTTGTTGTTTTGCTTCTTCACAAGTATTCCATTCGGCTAAAACCTGTATTTGCTAGTATAACGTATGGAGCTTACTAATATTTGATTAAATAAATTTTTGACACGTTTGATTCAATTCTATAATGTAAATTTGT